ACATAAATATGGTTTTAAACAATTACCGAGGCCCTTGCTATGGGGCCTCAGTATTGCATTCGTACAGACGAAAAAATTTTCTTACCCCCTTTTTTTAAATTTTCATGTTTCCGATCATTCTGAGTCCGGAAATGCAAAAAAAATTCGTCTGTCCTTCTGTGTGTATGTATGCCAGCACGATAACTCTAGAACAAAAGTTCTGATTGGCTCGCGGTTTTGATTTTCTTGAATAATTACTTCTAATTTAGAACCCTATTGATTTTCAGAATTTTCGGTTCATCCTAACTATTTTATTATCAATTTTCTTAAAATCCGCCTATGCATTTCTTATGTGACTAATTTTACGAATTCCAATCATTCTTATTTATCAGTACTTATCAGTACTTATTTTTATTACATTAGCATTTCTACCTGTAGTGAGATATGTATTAATTAAATTTAAGAAAACATGTCCAATGGTTTCAAGAACTTCTTTCACCATTCTGCAATTGAATGTTTCATGAAGTGATAATTATTTAATTGATCCTCCATTTTTCGTAAATTTTGCAAATTTTAAATATAAATTATTATTTATATTAGACCACGTTACAATATTCTTAATAGGTACTTGGAACAATACTTTCATTGCTGTCCACAAAATTTTTATTAAAACTGATTGCTATTTTTTTTTCTATGTTGTTTATTAACAATTTTCGCTGTGCTGTAGTTTCAAAGATTACAGAGTGTACTTTATCTCGGCTATTATCATTAACAATTATTTTTAAAGTTTTCCACATTTGTTTTGGATTATTTCTAAATTTATCTGTTTTATCAAAGTAATACTGCCCTTTTTTTAGCTTCAACATATTCGCTACCACATTTTTATGTTGCTTATAAACTTGCATTTATGTTGTTTTTAATTTCCATTAATACATATTTTAAAATCTTTATAAATCCTATCACGCTGTCTAATTTTATCATATACCTCATAATCAAATCAAGGCAATTTTGATTTATATTGGCATGTTTCTGTTGGTGATATACAGAGTGTTTTGCATAAGTACTGACACAGAACAGGTGGGTGTTAGGTACCCCAAAATATGATGATTTAACACAATTTACCTCTGTACCAATTTGTACCCCTAAAGAGTCACGGAAGCTTAAAGTAAACTTTTATTAAAACTGATAAAATATTATTTTAACTTTTTTACTCTTCTTTTTTAAATATTTCTTTTCATACCTCAACTGTTATTTGTTTTATTGTTAATTAAGGCCGTTTAATCTCAAGATTAAAAGTATATTTAAGTGTGTAACTACTGCATTTGTATTTTTATATTTATAATAAATGCGGGTAAAACGAGGGGTAAAATAATAATAAATTAAGGGAAATAAGTACTTAAAAAGGGCAGGTTTAAAGAGTATTATCACAAAAAAGTATATTCGTTCTGTTTATTTATCAAGTATCTATTGTTTGAGGTTACTTTTGAATACATTTATTGTTGTTTTTTTTTTTTAATTTCTGTAGGCAGTCTATTAATTTTTTTTTAACCTTTAATAAAAATTGTATTTTGGGAACTTTTAGTGGTAGCTTGCCGTATATGACAGTCGGATTGGCTTCTTCTATTGTATAGTTGTGATATTGCGAATTACACGGAAAAAAATTGTAGAACAAATTTCTACAATTGAGGAGCATTGGAGCAAAACCGAATAAATCCACTTTTCAGACAGATTTCAACTTACTTTGTTAAATTACATCTTTATAGACTACCTGTCCGAGCAAAACCGAATAAATATTTGTAAAATTAATTGTCGAAATTGATGTGTTTGTGCAAAACCGAATAAATCCACTAGTAAAGTGGTGTAAACAACACATCAGCATTCGCTGTAGTTTAAAAGCAGTTTGTAAGAGATATTTCTTTATTTTCATTTGTTTTTCCTCTTATATTAGTGCGGGTAGTTTTGAATTTTGATTTGTAATATTTTTAACAAAAATTATTTTTCAAAATTATAATGGCAGAGGGTGTATTATTTATGATGCCTCCAATATTATTGTTTTCACCAAACAAACGAAAAACCAGTACTTTTTGTCTATTTGGAAAATCGTGTTTTCCCAAAAATCGTTTATAGTGGATTTATTCGGTTTTGCCCCAAAGCTCCTCAATTGTAGATTTTTTCTCTACAATAAATAGTACATATAGGGACAGGGACAATTTGTAGTAAAAATTTCCAAATATTTGTGGAGAATGTATTGTAGAGTTATTATCTACAATATTTAGTAAAAAGATCCAAATGCATCATAAGAATTGTTCTACAAATTGTTATAATTTTTGCTATTCATTGCATGAATTTATATTAAAAATGTATTGCGTTTTATGAAAATAAATACGAAAATGTTACACAATAAATAGTAAAAATTCATACAAATTGTAGTAATTTTTAATAAAATTTGTAGTAGTATTCCATAATTATTATAATTATAACCTAGAAAAAAATGTTCCTTAATAAAATATTCACTTTATTGTTTTAATATAAAAGACACAAATTCTTAATTACATTATGTAATAAATAACAGTAATAATAGCACCCTCAGTCTCAGTTGGCTTTTCTGCACCTGAAAAATATGAAATAAAAATTAATAATTGTTCATACCCTTAAAACGGGAATATTTATTACCTTTACACTGATTTGGATATTAAATGACTAAGTCAGATAACTAACAAAAATGAGAAAGTAGGTATGTCACAATTAAGACAAAAAACATCATTGAACTTGGCACAAAATTCGATCGTTGCGCACAACATTCGATCGTTGGCCACAACTATTTTTTTTAAATAATCTACTAAGGTTATTTAAATTAGTTATCTAAAGGTAAATTATTCAGAAACAATAATAAATATACTTACCACCAACAGAATTTATTATTAAAATTTTCTCAAACGCATCGGTGCTTATAATATAATAATGTGTTATAGGTACTCGTATGTACCATGCTTTGTTATGTGAACATGGCGAACGGCTACTGCTGTCTGGCCGTTTGTGATCGACGTCAGAAAACGTTGGCCAATAGCAGAATTCTGTTTTGTTCACATGACTTAGAATTTCTACAATATTATAGAATATTTTTGAAGAAGGGATGTAAAGTATTACTATTTTTTGTAGAGAAAATTACTATTTTTTGTAGAAATAATTTTTAATATTTGTACAAATTTTTACAGAAGTTAGTAGTAGTAATTACGATAATTGTAATAAATTTCTACCTCTACAAACAATAGTAAAATATACTAAACATTGTGGACTTCTTTCCTATTGTTGTAGCATTTTATTCGACAATTCAATTGCTACAATAATTAATAGTTTTTAACTATAAATTGTAGTAAAATGTTCTACAAATTGTTAAGTATTTTTCTACAAGTCTACTACTACAACATTGTAGTAAAATTTTCTAGTCACATTTTTTTCCGTGTATATTGAATTTTTTCTAATATATCTTTTAACATAGTTGCAATACTCATCCTTCTGTCTTTTATTAATATTATATAAATATGCGAAGTAAGGAGCCCAAATATTTTACATGAGCAGGCTTAAGAGGTAAAGGAGCCAATTATTATTGGATATATTCCTCGAACAATTTTTTAAACCTTAATCAAAAGGGCATATAGAATGGTTTTCAAAATCAAGATTTGTCAAAAATCACATGGTGCACAAACCAGAAAAATCAAGTTCTTAATACTACTACAATCGACTTTCGGTCTTTCGTTCCAAGTTAAATCATTTCTCGTTTTTTTTACGGTTTACTCTTGTGGGCCTCAGTTTCAATAAGGTGAGAATCCAAATTTTAGCGTCTTTCGATTTAATTTTGATTTTGAAGGATATGTGAAGTAACAGGCAGTTAATTTAAAACCAAGGTACCCTACCAACGCGCTATTTTTACGTTTATTTAGTTTTTCATCAGTTTTTAATTTAAAAACACGATTTTCAAAGCTCCGATCAGGTACAGGGTTGATAAAAAATAAGAATTGAAAAATATATAAGTAGTTTTTTTATGTTTTACGATTTTTTCCAGTTTTTTAGTTCATATATGTCAAAAGTTAATAAAGTTACAAAATATACAAGCAAAACTTGAGAAATATAATATAATTATATTAAAAAAATCACATTCTGCAAAAAAACTAACAGGTAAAAAATAAATAAATTGTCTTTTTTTAATATTAATATTCATTAATACCAATATCAATAGAAGAAGTGGTATAATATTTGATGACATGCTTACATTTGTATTTATATACACTCATTTTTGCACCCTTTCTCCCGGGAATTGATTATTATCCGAAGAAATCTAAAATTGCAGAATTTTTTTAAAAACCTAATATCCTAGGTGCAAAAAACACGCACCTGCCAACCCTGGTTAGGTACTTATATATTTAAGTTTTAATATTTTTTGTGAGCGGATATTTTTACCATTAATTTTTTATTAAAAAAAAAAAAAAAACAATAATTGAAATGTTCTGGAATATTACGGATTTTTAAGTAAAATATAAAAATCTTTTACAAGTAATATTTAATAATATATGTTAACACTCTAGTTTGAGTAAATGGTTAAAACAATGCATTAAATTAGTTAAATAAATCGTCGAGCAAAAAGAATTAACTGGAAATGATGGTTGAACTAGTTAAAATAATATTGTGAGTCAAAGTTCTCACAATTCACCAAAAACAACGAGATATCGGTCATGTTTTCTGTCCATATCGGTATTATACCTATATGAACTCTGCACAGACGGTTGCCAAGAGACTAAACCCCGCGAAGTGTAAACACTTCCCCTCCGTGGAAGGGACAGAGTATAGGCGGTGTGCCCGCTTCCTCGACCAATGGATTACACTACAGTTATGATGTCACATTTCAATTAGAACCTAGGAGTGCCAATGGCGCGCGCAACGCTTTTACAAGATAGAGGGGAACCGAGAGTGGGAGAGATTGGATGGTGAGACTACCAGTTTCCCAATCTACACACAGTCAGTAATACAAACAGGGTCGCGTGCGTGCTGTCTGATATGCATAACGAATCACATCTGAGCATAAGTAAGCATTTTGGCCTGATTCGCGTCATCGCGCGATAATTCTGAACGAACGTAATAGTTTGATACCGCTAAAATCAGTGTTTCGATAATTAACAGTGGGTGATTTCTATGTTAAAATAGTGACAAAAACAGTGCAAAGTGTACGAACACGAGGACAGTGTGGACGAGAGGCCCTTACAGGGCATGGCGGCCACCACATATCTTCCGGCGAGCAGTGCAGTTACGACAGACCTCGAAGGAAACGTCGTCGGAATGAATATTGTTGGAGGATATCACTCTAGTGCCTCTCCGAGGTCAGCCGCCGACGCAAACGAAATGAAATACCTGCCGCAACACCACCATAATCATCACCATCATATGGCGAGTTCGCCGTCGCCCAGCGGGCATACGGCGGTTTCGTTATCGGCGAATCCGTGGGTGAGTTTGCAACCGGGAGCCGATCCGTGGACCGCTTCCATGGGGATGCATCACGCACACCATCACCACCATCAGGACGTCAAACCTTTATCCCAACCGGCCGAAATGATGCATCATCAGCGGCAGCAACAACAAAGTATGGGATCGCCTCACGGCTGGCACGGACCCGTCTCGTCGGCGCACTATAATCCAGGAGGCGCCGGATCTCCCCTTCAGCAGTACCACGCTGCCATGAACGGTATGTTAGCTCATCATCAAGCGGCACCCCAACTCCACCACCCTTTGCATAGAGATATGCAAAGTCCTCACCACCCGCAACACTCGGAAAGAGACGTTAGCGGAGGAGAAGACGAAACGCCTACGAGCGATGACTTAGAAGCCTTTGCAAAGCAATTTAAACAACGACGTATCAAATTGGGATTCACGCAAGCGGACGTCGGGTTAGCATTAGGAACACTTTATGGTAATGTCTTTTCCCAGACAACAATATGTAGGTTTGAAGCTTTGCAGCTTAGTTTTAAAAATATGTGCAAATTAAAACCGTTACTCCAAAAATGGCTGGAAGAAGCCGACTCGACAACGGGGTCGCCCACGTCCATAGATAAAATTGCGGCGCAAGGGAGGAAGAGAAAAAAACGCACTAGTATAGAAGTCTCGGTAAAAGGTGCTCTAGAGCAACATTTTCACAAACAACCAAAACCCTCCGCTCAAGAAATAACGTCGCTGGCAGATAGTTTGCAATTAGAAAAAGAAGTCGTCCGGGTATGGTTTTGCAATAGGAGGCAGAAAGAAAAGAGAATGACGCCTCCGAATACGTTAGGCGGTGATATGATGGATATGCCTCCCGGAAGCCACATGCACCCCAGTTACGGCCACCACCAGGACATGCACGGATCTCCGATGGGCCAGCATTCCCATTCCCACAGTCCACCGATGTTGTCTCCCCAAAGTATGGGTCACCAGTTGACGGCCCACTAGCATCCGGCCCACTGGGCCTCTCTTCTCCACAACAGTGACAACGGCTAGTGATAATATCTGTTAAGATGCGCTCGTCGCCGGTTTCCGTCGGCTTTTAAAACTTTCTTCACGCTACCTCAAAGCCATGGCTGGATTCTTATGTCCTACTTCCAAGTCGTTGAGGAGGTCCTAGTGGAACTATGAATTGGACGACTAGACTGTTATTATAAATTATAATGCACTGTACAGTGAGAGTGAGTACCTTTAGACTAGAAAGGATCGCGGTTATTCTGTATCTGTATATTTGTTGTAAATAAAAGAGTGATAAAGTTGCCCAAAACGAGTAGCTGTGTATTATAATTATAGGTAAAAGCTGCTACGTTGTACATAAAGATTTTAACTACCGGTCCAACAATAGAAGAATCGTGATTTATACCTTAAAACACACACCGAAATGGTTGACGATAAAACAAATTAATATTATAAGTTTTTAATGTACAGTATGTCCTGTTTATAAAAGTTGTTCTTATGTTGTTATTATTTTGGTTCGAGTGTCGTACAGTTAAATAATTAATTTTTCTACAATCCGTACTGTAGTTATTGAAAAAAAAAAAAAAATAATCAAGGATTTATTTCATGTGTATATTAATTATAATAATTATATCGTTGTACGGTGTGACATTAAATCGATTTCGTTTTTAAAATGTCTTATGATTTCTCTAACCACCTCAATCAACTCCTTCTTGAGGTGACGAAAAACATTACTAAATATAAACAATTGGTCGCGGTAGCTACTCTTTTTAAAATGGGCCAACTTTTCCAATATTTAAAATATTTTATTACGTTATTTATTAACTAATTTTATTTTTGTTTCAATTTTTAAAAATTATTTTAATTAATAGTTTATTTATATTTTTTCAAAGAATATTTTTGTCTAATTAACGTTAGCAATATTTTCTTTACTGTCAATATAATTATCTAACATTAAAAAATGCGGTAAATTATTGCCCTTTTTTATTTAAAATTTTAATTACAAATTTTGACATAAGTACTTAAAACAATTTTTAAATGATTTCATAATAAAACCGATAATTTACAAAAAAAATCGAAAATATAGTAATTAAAATGTATAAGTAATTACCTGTTTTTAACCTTTTTTATTACTTTTGTGGTTTTAATAAAAAAAATACTTTTTAAACTTTCAGAAATAAAAAGTAAAAATTTTTCATGTTTATAAGATTTTTATAATTTATAATTAAAAAAAGCATCTTATTTTTTCGTAAACTTTATTTCACGTTTTAGTTTTTTAAATTTCAAAATATTTTTTAACTATTCCAAATAAATTAAAAAATCTTTTTTAATATGACAGTGAAGAAAATAATCGTTTTTATTGAATATGTAGATATAATATTTTGACAAAATAATTGATGAAGACTATTTTTTCAAAATCGAATTAAAACTAATTTTATCCATATTCTTCGATATTATCTACAGACAATCACCAAATAAATACGGAATAATCATAATTTTTTGATTTAATATATTCAATTAGTAATTTCTATTAATATTCTTCAGATTCTTAAAGTTAATAATAAAAAAAATGATAACTATCAGTATATTTAAAAAAAAAAGAAGTGAATTTTGTTAGCGTGCATAGCTATGGAGACAAGTACCTACCTATTTAAATAAGGTATTTATTTATATCTTTTTTAACATTTTTACACATTTTCGTTTATGAAAATATTCACCATTTTTTATTCACTTGTTTGCATAAAACATGCTTCCGTCGATAATTAAATTTTAAAAAAGAAATATATATTTTTAAAAATTGCACAACGAAAATTAAATTTTTAATATTTATACAATATTTAAACTTAATATTTATGATTTTAAAATATTGGAAACCCACCCTACATGTTATTTTGAATCAAAAAACTGAATTATCTATTGAATAACTATCTTTTTTTTTTAATAAATGCAACTTTCATTTTATTCTAAAAGGAGGATAAAAAATTGGCTATATTAATAATAATGGTTATTAGAAAATCTATCAATACCAAAAATGTTAACAATTTTTCTATTTATACAAAAAATTCTGATATTAATTTAATTTTAATTTAAAGGCAAATATTTTTTATCCAAATATATTTTTCAATTCTAAAGCAAATTTGTCTTTAAAAAAAAAAACCCATATACATTTTTTCTGATATTCATTAAATTTTAATTTAAAGAAAAAACATATTTTTCCAAATATAAAATGTATTTCAATTCTAAAGCTAATTTGTCTATTTAAAAAAAAATCCCATATACATTTTTTCTGATATTCATTAAATTTTAATTTAAAGAAAAACAATTTTTCCAAATATAAAATATATTTCAATTCTAAAGCTAATTTGTCTATTTAAAAAAAAATCCCATATACATTTTTCTGATATTCATTGAATTTTAATTTAAAGGCAAACATTTTTTTCCAAATATAAAATATTTTTCAATTCTAGAGCAAATTTATCTATTTAAAAAAATCCCATATACTTTTTTTCTGATATTCATTATATTTTAATTTAAAGGAAAACATTTTTTCCAAATATAAAGTATTTTTCAATTCTAAAGCAAATTTGTCCATTTAAAAAATCCCATATCATATATATTTTATGAATTTTCAAATATTAAATTCCTATATAGGTATAAGAAACAACCATTTAACAGAGCCATAATCAACTTTTAAAGTCATATAATTATTTATTTATAACTACTTTAGTGTCAATTTAACTAATGGTCTTATAATCTTCGGTTTAAGTTAGACATTTAAAGCTCCATTAGATATTATAACACGGAAATTGTTGCTATTAGACTTAAACATTGAGAAAATTATATGTAATAAGACGGAAATACACAGATTTTTTTGTTTAAAATAATATCAACAGTGATTTAATTTATTTAATAAGCAAAAAATATAGGAATTTTTTAAACGTCTGTTTATAAAAATCGTTAAATTTTTGATAGTTCCTATTAAATGGATACATTAAGAACTAATGATCTTACTATTTTCTTAAATATCTACCCAGCTATAGATTAAATAAATGTATATAGCCTGGGAAAATTTGAAACAACTTTTTTAATACACGTCAATTTCTTATTGACAGTTTATATATGATAAGAAATTTTGCCTTATAATTAAAGTTTAATATTTATATAAAATTATTATGAGTACCTCAATGCAATGGATATAATACATCAGTATCTAGGTACGTAATAAGCAATCATAATTATATATAATCATTACATATATACGATTATTACTTTGAAACAAATGATTAATTTTAATGATTTTTTAAGAAAGTTGCATTTGCTTTTAAAAATTAAATAAAAATGGAAGTTATTTTGATTAATTAAATTATGATGGGTATAAAAAAAGAGTATCTACATTTTTTAAAAACAAAGTTTTTTATAATATTATTAAGAGTACCTACAGCACAATCGCATTCATCTGGTAGTTTTTTATTTATCTTTAATGATATTTTTAATCAATAATGTGATATAAATAAATAAATACATTTAAATTTTCGTCAAATTGTTTTATAAATATTTTGATTGAAAAGTCTTATTTCGGATTAATATTGTAAATTTTAAAAAGTAATATATACTTTGTTAATATTTATTTTATACATTTTAATTTTTGACGTATCTTAACCTAGGTATAATAATACTTTAACTAGGTCCCAAAATATCAAACTGGTAAAGGTTTTAAATGAAATTGTTAACAGGTATTTGTTTTAAATCTAGCATATATTTATACAAATTAAAAAAACAAACAGTTTTATTACCGAAGCTTTCTGGAAATTATGATTTTTTTTATGATTAATGATAGAAAAGTAAATAATTCATTACTAAAATTTAACACTATTTTTTTACCTACCTACTTTAATAAGATATATTGAAATATTTTCTAAACGTATAAAGGGTAAAACTAATGAATAAATTAAAATATATTTTTAAAAAGAATGACAACCAACATTTTTGGGTTATGTTACATTTATTTTATATTTGGTTCGACATTTTAATTTTCAAGAATGTTGAAAAGTCGGTATACACTCAATTTAAAGTGAAATTAAAAAATAAATAAGGTATCTTCATTTTGAAGAATCAAAATATTGTTAATAATAAAATAATTAAAAAAAAAAATGCTTGTACTTACAAAGGTAGAAATCTTCAAAAATACAAATAATTGTCAAGATAAAAGCAAATAATATTCTATTTGTTGATGGTATTAATAAAATAGTCAGTAAAAGAAGTAACTTTAATTCAACAAGAAAAAGAATATACGGTTTTACTTTTTTCAGATTTTTGGTAAAATTTTCTTCTATATGATCACTCTAATACAATGTGAACCCAAAAATCAATGCCTAACGATTATATCAATGAGTGAAATGTAAAATAAAATATTGTTAATTAAATACAAATTTAATTGCATAGTTTAATTTTATCAAAATTTGTTAATTGTTAAGTGGAAATGTATACTAAAGATTTTGATATGTCTTAATATTAAAAGAATTTTTACTATGTTTTGGAGCTTTTTTTAATATAATAAATTATAATAGTGATCCTATCGTGCGGCTCCTGTCAATTTTAAAAAATACTGAAATGTATCTCTTGGTATGTATCTATATTTTCAGTAGTTTGATTATACTTACATAAATGCAACTTTTAATGAACTAAAAAACTACAAAAATAATATTTTTCAAGTGTGTGGATTAGTAAAATAGATTTAACATTTTTTTAAACTTTTTTTAAGGTAGTCACAGGGTCCTTATATAAAGTTTAATTTTTATATATTTATAATTTCAGTATAATTAAAAAATCTTATTAACAAGATAAGAACTCCCCCATTTCAAAAGAATTTTATATTTTATACGTTAATAAAAAGTAGCATTTTCTTAAAAAACAATATACACTAGTGGAAAAAGTTAAGGGATCAAAAAAAAATCGCGATTTTTCGAGTGGCTGTATCTTTGGTAAAAATGGTCATACGTGAATGAAAAAAAAGTTCTTTGAAACTTGAAGTGTCTAGTTTATGGATCTTATGATAAAAAAAATTTCCAACCAACAATTAGCACAAAATTCTGATGACTATCATGGTGGCCTCGAGATGACCCTTCCTTGCTGAGTTATCAGAAAAAGAACGAAAATGCGTCATTTCCTCTTCTCTCGTCAATATCTCAGGAACCAATGGCCGCTTAGAAAATGGAAGGGGGGTTTCGGAAACTTCAATTCATTCTCTACAAGGTTCTGGTATGTTCTTTCACGAGAAATTTTTTTTTCATTCCTAGCATGACTTTGAAGAATTTCGGAAAATAGGTCTTTTTGAGGTTTTTTAGAAAATCACGTGCCACATTGAGAATATTGGGAAAATTAATAATGTTGAGTGTGAATCTCACAGGCCATTATTCCCCCGAAAGCCTTACAAAATTTCAACCTGCTCCATCAAGTCGTTTCATTGTATCATGTGAGTGAATTTTTGAAGAAATTTAAGGATCGCGTTTTTCTATCCATTATATTCATCAGTATTTTGTGCTAATTGGTAGTTGTAAAATTTTTTTATTGCAAGATCTATAAACTAGATACTTCAAGCTTCAAATTGCTTTTCTTTTACATTCACGTACGACCATTTTTACCAAAGATACAGCCACTCGAAAAATCGCTTAATTTTTTCTCTAATTTACGTGTCTGTCTAATAACACCTTTAAACTTCCATTTTTCTGAAGTAAATTTAAGATTAATTTCTTAAAGACAGCTTCATATCTAGAAACTTAT